GCATCGGCTGCTGTGGTCCCCCTGCCTTACCTGTGGCAGGTTAGGGTATGATGTCTTGTGTTGTGCCAGGGTTGAGGGTAGTTTTATGAAGAGGGTAGGTTGTGGATTCGTATAGGATGGTTTGGGTAGGGATGATCCTGCCTCAGGCAGGGGTTGGTCTAGATGACCTCTGGAGCTCCCTTGCAGCCCTACTTCTCTCTGATTCTGTTCATGATTTTATGCTGTGAATGCACACGAGGGTCTTTTGCCATGAGACTGCTGTATGAGACATCCTGGGAAGCAAGGCAGCAATGGATGTCTAAGTGTACAGGGGCAGCACTGCAACATGGCCTCCCGTCTTGGATCTAGAAGTGAAGGGGGCCAGGTGTTGTCATGCAGGCAGTAGTGCTGCTTCATAAGAAACCCCAGACAGTCAGTGCCCAGGTCCATGCAGCCCAGAATCCCACCCTCGTGGGTCCCATCCACAGCAAGGTGTCTGCGAGAAGCTCCAGTAGAGGTTTGTAGCATCCCTCTGTCAGGGACGGCGGGTCTTCCCTTTGAATATGTAACATGAGTTTGGACCAAGCACTGGAAAGCCCACGGGAAGGAGAGCGTCTACACTGGAAGTGGAGATCGGAAGCCAGCCACAGGTACCGGTCAGATGAAACTGCCCTGACTGCTGGGCAAGGAGCTGATTCTCCCCTCCCTTATTCAGGTTTCCCTCCAGTACAAATCCATTAACTGCAGTGAAATTACTTCCTGTTTACACGCGTGCAAGAGCAGAATCCTAGCCAGAGGGACAGACCCGATATGCACACATGGAGCAGCTCCATGTCCTATGGACTAATACCATGAAAGGCAAAAGGACTCCTTCATGGAGAGAGGCACTGCTCCACACAGGGAAAGCTGCTGCAGTCGTGCCCCTGGTAGGACCACAGCCTCAAGAGCTGTAATGCCCCTATGCTGATGGCTATGGGTAGCTGAGCTCCTCAGATGACCTGCAGCATTGTGTGATACCACGTTCATAGGGTCAAGGGGAGATGACACAGGCTTGGATGGCCATATCCTCCCCACACCGGCCCTCCACACTGGACTCAGACCCCCTTGGGTTCAAAAATAGCTTACAGAGCAGCTGCACTGGACGCACTGATGGGGCTGCCGAGAAGGGAAGAGCTCACTGGTGGTAAACATCTCCCCTTGTTGGTAGGTCGTCCCGTTGTATTGGCAAGACTTCACAGGCGCCCGGAGGCCAGACGGCGTGTGCGGCTCTGCAGGGGGAGAGGGCAGACAGAAACAAGACTGCTGAGCTCCACGGCTTCCCAGGCCCAGCCCGCAGGAGGTGAAACGCTGATGCTAAACAGATTCCCGGCACTGACACGGCTCTGAATAATGGGAAGCCGGGACCACCTTCCAGGGAAAACATAAACAGAGCGTGTATTTATCAGATCCCTAAAACTGGATCCAGGCTCGCCTGCACCATCAATAGCTGGAATGAAACCCATAAGCACAGCTCAACCCACCTCTCTGAGCATAATTTATCTTGAAATGAGAGCTGCATCGCGAAGGACACAGCCATAGCCAGACTGTTCCAGGAGAGGACACATTGATCAGGCAGACCCATTTCCATCTTTTTTCCCCCCAGGTCCCAGTGCCTGCTGCCCTCCACTAGCACCAACACCCCAGCTTGGAGCAAGCCAGGGAATAGGTGGGCATTGATCCTGCCCCACCAGTTCATCATTCACCATCTGCTCTGGAGCCCAGCCCAGCAGCACAGGAAGGCAGGCTACTCACCCTCCAGACACCCACCTTGTGTAAGTCACAGCCTAGCCCTTTAAGGGGGAGTTTGCTGCCTCCAGGGCTCCATGCATCCCATTTTTCTTATGTCTCAGCCTGTCCAAGAGCTAAAGGATCATGCTGAAAGGAAAACCTGCTCCTGGGCCAACAGAAAGAGAGAGCCCAGGCCAGAACGGCACTTACCGGCGCAGCGTGGGCAGCACTGCTGGGGCTCGGTGACGGGATTGATGCAATGCACGGCCGGGCACTGGATCCGGTAGCAGCTCACGTTTGTGCTCTGTTGGCACAGAGAGAGAATGGGGCCGTGTCAGCCAAAAAAGTTAAGACTGCCTCCCCCAGCCTGATGTCTTGTGCA